GCCAAGTTTCTTTTAAATACTCCGAGGGAGTTATGACGAATATTGTCTCAAAACTCACCAAAGAACGTCCCATATTTTGGCGTTTTTTCATTATATAAAAGTGTACCAGAAATTAATTGATTAAAAAATCCGTAACTTTTTTGTTTATTGATGGATTTCAAAAATTCAAAAAGTTCCATGCTCTGTGAAGATAAAGCTACAAAATGCACCTATTTGCAAACACTTTCTGGCAAAAAAAGGATTTTTGTGGTCATTGCTAGTGTGTCTTTGTGTGCGTGTGTGTCTGTGTGTGTGTGTGTGTATGTGGTTCTCATCAGCCGTTCCTCCCAGACAGGTCTGTGTGTGTGTATATCTGTTTGTGTGTGTGTGTGTCTGTTTGTTTGTTTGTGTGTGTTGATGTGTGTTTGTCTGTTTGTGTGTGTCTGTTTGTCTGTTTATGTGTGTATGTCTGTTTGTCTGTATATATATGTGTATGTGTCTGTTTGTTTGTTTATGTTTGTTTGTCTGTTTTTCTGTTAGTGTGTGTATGTGTGTGTGTGTCAGTTTGTTTGTTTGTGTGTGTGTGTGTGTCTGTATGTCTGTGTGTGTATTTGTTTATTTGTGTAAGTGTGTATGTGTGTGTGTATGTCAGTTGTCTGTCTGTGTGCGTGTGTGTGTGTGTGTCTTTGTATGTGTGTCTGTATGTTTGCATGTGGTAAGAATTATCACATAAACTTTTTTTTTAAATTTATTTATTTATTTACTTATTTGATAAGTGTTTTACGGCGCTCGCAACTGCATAAGGTCATGTGAGCGAAACGGGACACATTAAACCATAGTCAGTCGGTAGGAAATTTTGAATTTTGTCCTCGTGGCAGCCGAAGCCTACTCTTATCGATTTTAGATCATCAAGGGATCTTTAACATGCGCAACTTGCACCCGGATTAAACTATAAACTTTAATATAGACAAAGAGTGACCACACAAACGAAAAATCTTCGGCCTAACGAAACCGTTTCCTCTCATGCTCAGACCTGCCTGTTGGGGTTTAAAAAAAACATATAGAGACAAAAAGTAACCATAAAGAAACAAAAAGAAACCATATACGGATAAAAAGTAACGATATAGAGACAGAGAGATAGAAAGTAACCGCATAGAGACAAAAAGTAACAATATAGAGACAAAAAGTAACAATATAGTGACAAAAGTAACCACATAGAGACAAAAAGTAACAATACAGTGACAAAAGTAACCATATAGAGACAAAAGTAACCATATAGAGACAAAAAGTAACAATACAGTGACAAAAAGTAACAATACAGTGACAAAAGTTACCATGTAGAGACAAAAGTAACAATAAAGTGACAAAAGTAACCATATAGAGACCAAAAGTAACCATGCAAAGACAAAAAGTAACCATATAGAAACAAAAGATGACAGAAGGTGACGAGGGGGGGGGTCATTTTTGACCTAATTAAATTTTAGCTGACATTTATTGTAAACGATCCCAAACAGAACTAACTCTCTCTCTCTCTGTCTCTCTCTCTCTATCTCTCTGTCTCTCTGTCTCTCACTCTCTCACACTCTCTCTCTCTCACACACACACTCACTCTCTCTCTCTCTCTCTCTCTCTCTCACACACATACACACACACTCTCTCTCTCTCTCTCTCTCTCTCTCT